AGGTATCTCTAGGCCCACTCGGTAATGCATCATCATAATGAGCTCAATGTGATCAAGTGGTTGATCACGAGATCATGCATTACGGTACGAGTAAAGTGACTTGCCAGTAACGAGACTGAACAAGGTATTGGGATACCGACGATCGAGTCTCGGGCAAGTAACGTACCGATTGACAAAGGGAATTGTATACGGATTGATTGAATCCTCGACATCGTGGTTCATCCAATGAGATCGTCATGGAGCATGTGGGAGCCAACATGGGTATCCAGATCCTGCTGTTGGTTATTGACCGGAGAGGCTTCTCGGTCATGTCTGCATGTCTCCCAAACCCGTAGGGTCTACACACTTAAGGTTCGATGACGCTAGGGTTGTAGAGATATTAGCACATGGTAACCCAAAAGTTTTTCGGAGTCCCGGATGAGATCCCGGACATCACGAGGAGTTCCGGAATGGTTCGGAGGTAAAGATATCTATATAGGAAGTCCAGTTTCGGCCATCGGGAAGGTTTCGGGGGTCACCGGTATTGTATCGGGACCACTGGAAGGGTCCCGGGGGCCCACCGGGTGGGGCCACCTATCCCGGAGGGCCCCATGGGCTGAAGTGGGAGGGGAACCAGCCCCTAGTGGGCTGGTGCGCCCCCCCTTGGGCTTCCCCCTGCGCCTAGGGTTAGAAACCCTAGGGGTGGGGGCGCCACCCTTGCCTTGGGGGGCAAGGCAGCCCCTTGGCCGCCACCCCCCTAGGAGATTGGATCTCCTAGGGCCGGCGCCCCCCCCCCTAGGCACCCTATATATAGTGGGGGGAGGGAGGGCTGCGCACCCAAGCCCCTGGCCTCTCCCTCTCCCTCCCGTGACACTCCTCCATCTCCCTTGCGCTTGGCAAAGCCCTGCTGAGATCACCGTTGCTTCCACCACCACGCTGTCGTGCTGCTGGATCTTCATCAACCTCTCCTTCGCCCTTGCTGGATCAAGTTGGAGGAGACGTCTTCCCAACCGTACGTGTGTTGAACGCAGAGGTGCTGTCCGTTCGACACTTGGTCATCGGTGATTTGAATCACGTCGAGTACGACTCCATCAACCCCGTTCTCTTGAACGCTTCCGCTCGTGATCTACAAGGGTATGTAGATGCACTCCTCTCTCCCTCGTTGCTAGATGACTTCATAGATGGATCTTGGTGATGCGTAGAAAATTTTAAAATTCTGCTACGTTCCCCAACAAAACTATCTTGCACCCGTTGTATGTGAACGTAGAGCTTATCACACCCGATCATCACGTGGTATCTTGGCACGACGAATTGTCGCAACGGTGCATACTTAGGGAGAACACTTATACCTTGAAATTTTAGTGAGGGATCATCTTATAATGCTACCGCCTTACTAAGCAAAATAAGATGCATAAAAGATAAACATCACATGCAATCAAAATATGTGACATGACATGGCCATCATCATCTTGTGCCTTTGATCTTCATCTCCAAAGCACTGTCATGATTTCCATCATCACCGGCTTGACACCTTGATCTCCATCGTAGCGTCGTTGTCATCTCGCTAACTATTGCTTCTACAACTATCACTAACCCGTAGGGTCTACACACTTAAGGTTCGGTGACGCTAAGTTTGGCTCAGTCTATTTTCTTCTGTCAAGATTGCCCACAATCAATACCATCCTCAGACACACATTGTTGCCCAAGTCTGGTGATCACAGAATGATAAGAGGACATTCCATAAATTTGCTGCATATGTTTGATGTGCCAGAAAAGTTCAAGGTGATGACACTGATTGTAGCTAGAGACAATCAAGAGGACAACTGCTGACATAAGAGATCATGTGGGTATGCTCCACACGTTCAAATGCTCATCAACTCCAAGATGGGCAAAGGCACATACCTATTGGACAAAGAGCATCTTCCCTTGAGGCCTGACTTTGAGGACAACACAGTTGTCATGGATGCTGCAAATCCCACTTCAATAGAGGCTCAAGAGAAGAGAGCAAAAGCAAAAGAAGAGAAGGCAGCCAAGATGCCAAGTGCTGAAGAGGCTTCCCAAGTTTTTCTGAAGTCAAAACAAGACCAACTTGGCTATCTTATTCAAGCCACTTTGAGGATTGAGAAAGGTTTGGCCAACCTGATTCGGAATCAAGAGAGTCTTGAGAGAATCTTTGAGACCAAACTTCATGACTTGGATGTCAAGGTGATTGAGATTCAGACTTCTGTGGAGAAGATCTAAGAAGAGATCAAGGATAGGAGTGACAAGACCACTACTGATGCATATCAAAGGGTGCCCAGAAGGCATAGGTCTCCAGCAGTGCTAGTGATAGACACTAGAGCTACAACTTCAGCACCTGCAGCCACCACTTCAGTTGCCCCTCCAGTGGCAACTCCACCAGCTCCTACTACCTCTACAGATGCATTTTTTGCAGGACTCCTCTCCATGCCACCTCCCAAAGATCAAGCTTAGAGAGCCGCATAGCACTATGCATTTTCAAGCTTTTTGGTAACTTATTGCCAAAGGGGGATAAACTGTATAGATCACAGGCTTCGAGAGAGAGCTTTGCTTCTTCTTGCTATCTCTTTTGCTACTTGTTTGCTACTTATTTGTTTGCTTGTTTGGATGTTACTTTATGGTTGTGTGTGTGAGATAATTGTATGGTCATGTGTTTGATCATATCATACTTTAATGATTGTACTTTGGATGATTATATTATCTATCTCTCATGTATGATCGTTCACTTTGTCTTGGTGATGAGTGTATATTTCAGATTCTATCATTTTGAGCGCTCCACCAAGATGTACGTGACATGGAAGAGTAACCCATGATCCTAATTGAGTGTGCATTTGCATTCAAAAGCAAATTTTAAATAATGCACAAATTTAGGGGGAGATCTTGCTTATCACATACTTCTCAAGGCGATGATGTATTTCATTCTTATTATCATTTGTCGAAGCTTTGATCTATATGTTGTCATCAATTACCAAAAAGGGAGAGACTGAAAGTGCAACTAATCCCTGGGTGGTTTTGGTAGTTATTAACAATATATATCTCATTGAACTAATATCCATTGAAGATAATCTTTTCAGAAAGTTCAATGATTGGCATGGCATGGACTAGAGATGTGGACCCCTCAAAATGCTAAGGACACATATTGGCAAAAGCTCAAGACTCTACATTTTCATTTTAGTGATCCAAGATCACATTGAGTCCATAGGAAAGCCAATACTATTAAAAGGGGGTGAGGTGTTGCTTAATGGCTTGCTTGCTCAAAATGCTTAGTGATATGCTCCAAAAGCCCTCAACCACTTTCTCATATTCACATATGTCCCAAACCAAAAGTAAAACTCGGCCCCACCGATTTGATCTATCCGGCGCCACCGAGTTCACTTGACATAGCCATAGCCAGAAACCCTAATCAGTTCGGTCTCATCGATAGGGATCTCGGTCTCACCAAGATGGGATTGCAAACTCTCTATTTCCCTTTGTAACGTTTCGGTCTAACCGGGATGAGCGATCGGTCCCACCGAGTTCGCAATGCAAACTCTCTATTTCCTTTTCGTAAAGTTTCGGTCTCACCGAAATGAGCGATCAGTCCCACCGAGTTTGCCTGACCAACTCTCTGTTTGCCTATTATTAAAATCGGTCTCACCGAGTTCATGTGATCGCTCTCGCCGAGATTACGTTATGCCCTAACCCTAACACAATTGGTCCCACCGAGTTGATCATGTCGGTCCCACCGAAATGCCTAACGTTCACATTTTGAACTGAATCGGTCTGACTGAGTTTCACTATTCGGTCCCACCGAGTTTGGTAATTGTGTGTAGGTTAGATTTTGTGTGGAGGCTATATATACCCCTCCACCCTTCCTCCATTTGTGGAGAGAGAAATCACGACGTGCATACACTTCCACCACTCATTTTCTGAGAGAGAACCACCTACTCATGTGTTGAGACCAAGACATTGTGACGCCCCAAGACCGGAGCTTCAGATGCCTTCCATGTTCCCGAGTGTTGTCATGTTTTGTTTTGGTTCTTTGCATCATGTGCATTGCATCATGTCTTCTTGCCATTATGTCATTTATTTTTTTCTTAACTCAACTAAATAATGGCATGGACCTTTGATCCATTTAAACTGAGGGAATTCACATGGTGATTCTCTTTATAACATATCCTCTCGATATTTAGAGAGCTATTATAAATATTCCATTAACTTTGGAATCACCTATAACACACTTGCATATTAATTCCTTGGCCTTTTCTTCTTGGAGTGTTGACTCTCTAACCTTGCCTTATATCCTTTTATCATTTTCTGGAGCTTCACCTAAAATTTCAACATTTTTGGTCACTCCAGAAACCTCGTCCCAGTTCAAACCCATTTGAATTAAATTCAAATGAGTTTGAAATGTTTTGTTCGACCGGACTTTTTTCTATTTTTCTCGGAACGAGCATATTTTTGTGAGTTCGGAAAAATTATCGCCATGCTCAAAATCCTTTCCTTAACCCTCCTTTTCTTTTTTTCTCTCTATTTCTTTTCTCTTAAAAGAATAGAAGGAGAGAGAGGAGAGAGCCCAGCAGGCCGGCCTCTAGGGCCCATCCCTAGGCCCAACCGTGCCCCTGCCTATCCCCGCGGCCCATCTGCACCGGCCTTTAGGCCAGCCTTTTCCCTTCTAACCCTAGGCCCATCTAGCCCATCTAATCTAAGCCCAATCTCCCGATCCCCTCATCCAGCACTCCCTCTCTCTTGCCCCTTGCGCCGCCAGGAGAGGAGGCACCGTGCTCTACCCCTCCTCTGCCCGATCCCATCTCCCTCGATCTCTCTTTCTCGCTCGCAACAGCAACTCTCCTCGATCCTCCCTGCCACCATGCGCCCTCGCCGCCGCGGGCCACCATCGCCGCCGCGGGCCACCATCGCCGCCGCTTCCTGCGTTGAGGAGCCGCCGTGCCAAGTCCCTGTGTCCGTGCCTCCTACCCCGAGCGCCGCCCCATGGAGCCACGGCCCCCCTGCTCCGGTGAGCCCTAGCTCCGCCGCCACCGGAGGTCGACCCGACGCCCAATCCCCTCGTCGGCCTCCTCTGCTTTGCCGTCCTCGACCATCGGTGCTTCCGCGAGCTGCCCTGCGCCCCTGCCGAACCTCCCGGTGACCTGCATCTCGTCCGGTGGCTCCGGCGTGCCTGCGCCACCTCGAGCGCCCAGCAGGAGCCTCGCGCCGCTCGCTCCCTTCATTGTCTGCGTTGCCGGAGTTCGCCGGAGCCCCAGCACCGATCCCCAGCGTCGTAACCTTCCTGCCTCCATGGCCGGCCCCTCCGAGAGCTTGGCAGGAACCGCACCCTTCCACCCTGATGGCGCCCAAGGCTCCATGTCGCCATGGTTCTGTCCCAACGCCACAAGTCCGATGCCAAGACCACCTCAAGTTCGGCTACATGTAACACCGTGTACGACTACATATCCGGGATGCGTCAAGTACCCCACCGTCAAGACCGAGACCGCCCGAAGACCACGAATCCGTGAGGTTCCACTATCGTCGCCGTGGATCCGACAAGTTCGCGAGTACCACTACCTCCCACTACGACCTTGTACAACTACCGTCGCAAGAACCGAGACCGGCAAGTCCGAAGACCCAAGTACCATGACGCCAAGTACCCCTTCAGATCACCAAGGTGGATCGCGAACGTTGACGAGGTTCCGATAATACCGTCGACGTGTACGACCTACTCCGTGAATGTGTACCACTACCGCCGCTCGAACGTATACAGAACATGTACCGTCGACCCTCGAAGACCCGTGGACGGCAAGTTCCTTGTTGACCCCAAACACCTACGGAGTGTGAACATCTACAAAGTGAGAACGACTACTTCCACTACCGCCGTCGTGAGAACGCCTACTTCCCTCTATGAACGAGAACCGTCCCCTTTGCATGCTCTGAAGGTATAACCCCGAGACGACGTCCGTGAACGAATGATTGCGATGTTTGAGATGCTCATGTTTGCACCGCGTCCAAATTGTCACTCGTTTCCTTGTCGCCAACTCGTGGGACACCCGGAATCCGAGAGCGCCCCACCATCTTTTGCACGGATCCGCACACTTCTCCTTTGCATTGGTATCTTAATCGAGTTACCGGAACCGAAACGCTGCCGTGGCACCGTTTTCGTATCGTTGTCGTGGCACCCCTTTTCATTTCCGCCACGATGACAAATGCTTCATAATATGCTCTTATCAACTTATTCATAAATATTGCATAAAACTTGCATGTCATCCGCATCATGATAACAACTTCAAGAATGTTTAAAATTGTTGTTGCATTAAATTGCTAAATGCATATGGGGATTTATCGGATTTGTTGTTTGCTATATCTGGCCCCATTTAAATTGTTTAGGTGGTATATTTTGTTATGTTTCACCTCTTGACATGTTTAGCTACATTTAATATTGTTGGGTTCATAATCGAGAGAGAACTAAATATTTGATGTGGTGTTCCGTCAATATGCAACGGAGTTGCATATTGAGCTCCACTTAATTTGTAGGATTGTTTGTGCACTTTGCCATGCCATGCCTCATTAAACCGATCATGCATCATACTTGTTTGCGCATCGTGCCATGCTTATGTGATGGTTGTTTACCATGTGGTTTGCTTTCTTTCCGGTGTTGCTTCTTCTGGTTAGTTCCGATAATGTCGCGTTGTGAGGATCCGTTCGACTACGTCTGTTTGTCTTCTTCATGGACTCATTCTTCTTCCTTGCGGGATCTCAGGCAAGATGACCATACCCTCGAAATCACTTCTATCTTTGCTTGCTAGTTGCTTGCTCTTTTGCTATGCCTATGTTGCGATACCTACCACTTGCTTATCATGCCTCCCATATTGTTAAACCAAGCCTCTAACCCACCTTGTCCTAGCAAACCGTTGTTTGGCTATGTTACCGCTTTGCTCAGCCCCTCTTATAGCGTTGTTAGTTGCAGGTGAAGATTGAAGTTTGCTCCTTGTTGGAACATGGAGATGTTGTTCCTTGTTGGAACATGTTATTTTTGGGGATATCACAATATCTTTTATTTAATTAATGCATCTATATACTTGGTAAAGGGTGGAAGGCTCGGCCTTATGCTTGGTGTTTTGTTCCACTCTTGCCACCCTAGTTTCCGTCATATCGGTGTTATGTTCCCGGATTTTGCGTTCCTTACGCGGTTGGGTTATAATGGGAACCCCTTGACAGTTCGCCTTAAATAAAACTCCTCCAGCAAGGCCCAACCTTGGTTTTACCATTCGCCACCTAGCCTTTTTTCCCTTGGGTTAGGCCAGCCCAAGGGTCATCTTTATTTTAACCCTCCTCCCCCGGGCCAGTGCTTGTCTAAGTGTTGGTCCGAAACAGAGCCACTTGCGGTGCCACCTTGGGGAAAGTTGAGGGCTGATTTTAGCTGTACGTAGTGTTCATCCGGTATTGCCCTGAGAACGAGATATGTGCAGCTCCCATCAGGATGTCGGCGCATCGAGCGGTCTTGCTAGACTTGTTTTACCATTGTCAAGGATGTCTTGTAACCGGGATTCCGAGTCTGATCGGGTCTTCCCGCTAGAAGGAATATCCTTCGTTGACCGTGAGAGCTTGTGATGAGCTAAGTTAGGACACCCCTGCAGGGTTATGAACTTTCGAAAGCCGTGCCCGCGGTTATGGGCAGATGGGAATTTGTTAATGTCCGGTTGTAGAAAACCTGAACTTAATTAAAATGCACCAACCGCGTGTGTAACCGTGATGGTCTCTTCTCGGCGGAGTCCGGGAAGTGAACACGGTGTTGGAGTTATGCTTGACGTAGGTTGTTCTAGGATCACTTCTTGATCATAGTTTCTCGACCGTGCTTTTGCCTTCTCTTCTCGCTCTCATTTGCGTATGTTAGCCACCAAATATGCTAGTCGCTTGCTACAGTTCCACCTCATACCTTTTACCCTACCTATGAGCTTAAATAGTCTTGATCGCGAGGGTGTGAGATTGCTGAGTCCCCGTGACTCACAGATACTTCCAAAACCAGTTTGTAGGTGCCGATGTTACCGAGCAGGTGACGCAACCAAGCTCAAGGAGGAGCTCGATGAAGACCTTGTCCTTTGTGTTGTTTCGTTCTAATTGATCAGTAATGGAGCCCAGTTGGGACGATCGGGGATCTGTGTAGCATTTGGGGTAGTCTTCTTTTATTTTGGTTCCATAGTCGGACCCTGATTGTATCTGGTTGATGTAATGCTTTATTCATGTAATTGTGTGAAGTGGCGATTGTAAGCCAACTATGTATCTTTTTCCCTTATGTATTACATGGGTTGTGTGAAGATTACCTCACTTGTGACATTGCTTTCAATGCGGTTATGCCCCTAAGTCGTGCTTCGACACGTGGGAGATATAGCCGCATCGAGGGCGTTATAGACATTCCAATCCAACCACAAGAATCTTGACCTCTAGCCCTCCCCAAGTTTCTTTCCACTCAAATCATCTTTCCACCATATCCAAATCTATGAGAGAGAGAGAGAGTTGAGTGTTGGGGAGACTATCATTTGAAGCACAAGAGCAAGGAGTTCATCATCAACACACCATCTATTACCTTTTGGAGAGTGGTGTCTCCTAGATTGGTTAGGTGTCACTTGAGAGCCTCTGTCAAGATTGTGGAGTTGAACCAAGGAGTTTGTAAGGGCAAGGAGATCACCTACTTCATGAAGATCTACCCAAGTGAGGCAAGTCCTTCACAGGCGATGAACATGGTGGGATAGACAAGGTTGCTTCTTCATGGACCCTTCATGGGTGGAGCCCTCCGTGGACTCGTGCAACTATTACCCTTCATGGGTTGAAGTCTCCATCAACGTGGATGTACGATATCACCACCTATCGGAACCACGCCAAAATCTCCATGTCTACATTGTGTTTGCTCCCTCTAAATTCCTCCCCTTTACATTCATATGCAATGATTTACATTCCGCTACTATAATCTTAGAATTGCATGTGTATGTTGATTGCTTGACTTGTGATAAGTTGCTAAAATCTGCCAAGACTTAAAATTGGGAAAAGGCTAGATTTTTATTTGGTCAAGTAGTCTAATCACCCCCTCTAGACATACTTTTGATCCTACAAGTGGTATCAGAGCTTTGGTCTCCATTTGCCTTGATTTCCATAGCTTTGGCGATCATAGCCTTGGTTTCACAACCTAGGAGAGTATGGCATCTAGTGAGGGAAATTACCACCATAGAGGTCCTTACTTTGATGGTACTAATTTTGCTAGTTGGGAGCATAAGATGAAAATGCATATTCTTGGACATAACACCGCCTTTTGGGCTATTGTGTGTAGGCTTGCAAGGTGAATTCTTCAATGGGAGAGAACCAAATCGTGAAGCTACCGCGGAAGAATTGAAGATGTTGCAATACAATGCTCAAGCTTGCAATATCCTCTTCAACGGATTGTGCCCCGAAGAATTCAACAAAATCAACCATCTTGAGAATGCAAAGGAAATTTGGGATGCTTTGATTGATATGCACGAAGGTACCGACTCCGTCAAGGAATCTAAATTGGATGTGCTTCAAAGTGAACTTGACAGGTTCAAAATGAAGGATGGTGAAGGTGTCACTGAAATGTACTCTAGGCTTGCTCTCATCACAAATGAGATTGCCGGCTTAGGAAGTGATGACTGACAATTCATCATCAAGAAGATCCTAAGAGCCTTGGATGGAAAATATGGCACCATGTGCACATTAATCCAAATGATGCCCAATTACAAAGATCTGAAGCCAACGGGAGTCATTGGTAGAATTGTTGCTCATGAGATGTCACTCAAGGATAAAGAAGAGCTTCAAAAGAAGTCTAGTGGTTCTTACAAAGCCTCATGTGATGCTCGTACATCATCAAGTGAGAGACAAGTCTTCAATGAGGAATTGGTCCTAATGGTGAAGAACTTCAACAAGTTCTACAAGAGTAGAAGCAAACAAACAAGTTCCAAGTCAAGGTCCTACAATGAGAAAAGATCTTCTAGTCGTGAGCGTAATTGCTACAATTGCGGAAGACCCGGGCACTACTCCAATGAGTGTACGGCTCCCTACAAAAGAAGAGAAGACTCACCTAAAAGGAGAAGTAGAAGAGAAGAATCACCTCCAAGTGAGAGAAGGAGTAGAGATGATCGTTATGGATGAATAACCTCTCGTAGAAGCAAGGATTCGAAAAGGAAGGACAAGTCATCAAGGAGCTACACAAGACAAAGACATCAAGCTCATGTTGGTGAATGGGTATTCGACTCCAGCTCCGACCACCACTCCGAGAGAAGTTATCACTCCAACTCCG